CAGTGCATGAATTTTCATGCAACGGGCCTCTAGTAGTTGACATAAAAAACCCCAAAATATCTGGGTTTGAAAATGACAAACATTATGTTCCTCACACATTAAAAATAGAACAGGGAGAAGACCCAGAAGTTGGCCACTGGGGAATGGTAGGGTATCCTACAAAGATGTCAGGGACCCAGGCTCCTTCTCTCTTGTTCAGCCATTCCCATCTCAGCACATGGCTTCCATGTCTGATGAAAGATGGCTGCTTGAGCTCCAGCCATCTCACCCAACATTCTTATACATAATCCACATTATCCTTCAACAAGGAGGACAGGCAAAGAGACACACATTTCCACTTACCATTGGCCAGAGTATAGTCCCATGGCCACACCAAGCTATGTAGGAGCCAGGGAAATAAATTCTTTATTTCAGGGGGCCATGGGCCCAGCTGAAACTCAAGACTCTACTAAGGAAGAAGAAAATGGCTAGTGAAGGACTTGCCACTTCTTACAGTGGGATCATGCAGGAGGTGGCACTTAAGATGAGTCCTGTAGGCAGGGTAGGATTTCTACAGCTGCAATGAGGGTCAGGGAAGGGAAGAGCTAGAGTGAAGATAGGCATGAGGTGCATTTGGAAAGTGGTGTGTGAATTAGTGGCTTATGGGTCTGGATGAGGTAGATTAAGTGCTGATCTCTAGGATCTAGATTTTATTCTGGGGCACCGGGGAGCCACTGAGGATGCCAGGCAAGCTCAGGTGTGCCATGAAGACAACTGTGCTTCAGAGAGCTAAAGCTGTAGGAAGAAGGTGGAGGATGGATTGCAGGGGGAAATGAAAGGGGGGTGCTTGATTAACACTCAGACCGAGTCCTAAAGTTGCTTGTGGCCTAGCTGAGGAAACTAGCCCTTCTTCCAGGGGCCAATGAGTGACTCCTCCGGGAGGGCTGACACCAAATCCTACAAGCGACTCAGGGTGGAAATACCTTGGAAGCTTGGTTAGGGAAAGCTCCCTGTGGACCCAGGGGGCTCTCCTGAGGACAGGGCTGAGCTGAGGCTCGAGGAACAGGTCAGATTTGGAGAAATAGAGGAAATAGGTGGACAGGATAGACATTCAGGGCCAGTCCTCCAATAAACAGCAGAGAGACCTGCCTTCTGCATCTGTCCCTCTCCTTCCAGCTACATTCTCTGCCCTCATGGCTATGGGATTAGTAATGTTGGCAAGAGTGTGGTAACGGAGGGCAGAAGGCTGTGGAGCAGTGCAGGGAGCACTGGATGGGTGCAGCGGTCGGATTCCCAGCTCTCCACTTGTGTCTGTGAGACCTCAGTCAAGTGATCCTACCCCACGGGCTTCAATCGGTTCCTCTGCTGGAGGGGATGCAGCTGTGGGCACGAGGGGGGAACGCATTCCTGTGCAGATGGAGAAGGGCCAAGATGGGCAGCTCCTAAATAGACCAGGATGGTCATGGCTGTAATCTGGAAACTTCTGGGAATGCAGCTGTGGGTGGTGGTCTGAGTATTGATGGAAGGGCAGGTACCAAGCTGTCCTGTGCCCACAGTATGTGCTGGAGGGCGCTTTGGGCAGGACTGTGCCCAGCTCTGCTCCTGTGCCAACAATGGGACCTGCAGCCCCATCGATGGCTCCTGCCAGTGCTTCCCTGGATGGATTGGCAAGGACTGCTCACAGGGTAAGCTGCTGCCTCCTGGGAATGTCCCCTACCCCAGGTAAGGCCCTCAATCACCCCACTCCTTGCCATTGGTGCCTCTACCTCCCAGAGCTGAAATCTCCTGTGATAGGAATGTCTACCTGAGTCCCGCTTAGCTCTCTAGCTAATATAAATTATTAGGATTGATCACTGGCATTATTAACTGCCAGTATCAAAGGTATTACTATTGTTGATAGTACCATTAATATTGTTAATACTGAAAATTAATACTCCATCAGCACCTGAGCAAAGTTTGGATGGAGTTTGGATGGAGAGAAGAGGGGGCAAGGACTGACTGGCATGTTGGAGTTAGGGAGTAGGGAAGTGAGGTGAGGCCAGGGCAGTCACCTTATAGGGGCGAGGGCATCCTGTGGGTGTCCCATGTGAATGGTCCTGGGCACCAATTAAGCCTAGACGGGATTCTGGGGGCTGTTCATGTAAGGTGTATCCAATCTAATGCTCTGTGTAGCTCCTTGGCTGATGGGTGAGACCCAGCCCATACCCCTTAGGGAGGTCCCAGTGAGATGGTCTGGCCTGAGGGAATTTCCGTTCTGATGGAGATACAGGTGCCATCCTCAGGGAGCTCACCAGCCAAAAGAGCAGAGTCCCTACCCTGGGGAAGTTCCCATCCTCATGGGGAAGTTAGCGCACAGTGTTCACATAGTAAACTAGGATGTTTACAATTTAACACACACACTCCAAATCAGTCAGTCCCGAGAGGGGAGGTTTAAGGAGCCCTCAGAGCTGAGAGTGGGCAGAGAATCTGGACTTAATGAAAATCCTGGGTGACTGGGCCAAGAAGTGAACAGAGGAATTCTGAGAATACGGTAACCCCCCCTCGCCCCGCCCCCCAAAGTCAGGAAATGCCACCTGGATGCCTCCTGGCATCTTGACTCTGACGTGCACCCTTCCATCCTCTCCCTCCCTTTCCTCTGCTCCTCTCTGCCTTGCCCTTACCCTCCCATCCCACCCGCCCCCAGCGTGCCCACCTGGGTTCTGGGGCCCTGCCTGCTTCCACACATGCAGTTGCCACAATGGAGCGCGCTGCAGCGCGGAAGGATGGGGCCTGCCACTGCACCCCAGGCTGGACCGGACTCTTCTGCACGCAGCGTAAGCTCCGCCTTCTTGCCCGCCAGCTCCTCAAAATCCCGTGGGGGCCCTGCTGGGGGCCTTGGGCATTGTTCAGGGCTTCTGTGGAAGGCGGGAGGAGGTGGGGTCCAAGAGCTGGGGGGAGAGGGGACCTCTGGGCTGAGAACATTCCCACCTCTAGGATTGAGAAGCTTGGTTGGATGCAGGGGTTAGAGCCCAGAGTCCCGGGAGGCCAGGGCTGGCGGATTCCCTAGCAATCACCAAGACCAGACCTCCTTTGGACAGTGGGGCCCAGAGTGAAGAGGAGTGGCCTGTTACTACACAGCCAGGAGACCCCAGCCTGGCTTCTAGTTCCAGGACACCTTTGTCCAAATGACTCGCCACCCCCTCAGTGTGAGGGTTCAGAGTGTGGGAATGGCCCAGGTGCATGGTCTCACTTGTCTTCACTCCATGTTCAGAGAGAGGTGGCAGGAGACAGGTCTGGTCCCAGCTGCACCTCCCCAGTTGCCCCCACCCTGTTTCTCCAGGCTGCCCAGCAGCATTTTATGGGAAGGACTGTGGGCGCGTGTGCCAGTGTCAGAATGGTGCCAGCTGTGACCACATCAGCGGCAAGTGCACCTGCCGCACAGGCTTCACCGGGAAACACTGCGAGCAGAGTAAGCTGTTCCAACCCATGCCCCTGGGTGTTGGGGTCGGGCCTCAGCCTCCCTCTTCAAGGGCCCCCCATTCCAGGCTCCACACCCTGCTCCCTTGACTTCTGGAGTAACTTCCAAGGAAAGGCGCCAAAGATCGTGCCTACGTTGGTGTTTGGTTTCTTCCTCCAGTTGGGTGGGGATGGTGGATTGTGAGGCACAGCAGAAGCCTGAGGGGTCATGAGGGAGGCAGACCTTGTTCGATCCTTCTTTGCAGCCCCTATGGCACCCAGCTTAGGGCTTGGCATGTGGAGGATACTGAATAAATGTGTTAAATGTGAAGGAAATAGGAGTGGGTGTCCCCCAACTCAGGGGTAGAGGTGCTGTCTGCCCCTAAGTATCAAATCAAAGCATAGCAGGAGCTTGAGAAAGAAATAGGTTCCAGTCTATGAGGCAGAGCTGCTCACGTATGGACTGGAGGGTGGAGGGTGGCTGCATCTCACTGTCTACCCCAACTCTTCATATTACACAGGATGTGCCCCAGGAACCTTTGGCTATGGCTGTCAGCAGCTATGTGAGTGCATGAACAATGCGACCTGTGACCACGTCACTGGAACCTGTTATTGCAGCTCTGGATTCAAAGGAATCAGGTGTGACCAAGGTAATACACAGATGGCAGAGTCTCAGGCAAGGGGCTGTGGAAAGGGCCCCATGCAGGCAGACTCTAGGGAGATCCCAACAGGAACAACTGGATTGTATAAGGACACTTTGTGACTTTATTCACCTTTGGGCAGAGAGGGGGAGTAAGGTGGGTGCGGAGGTTCCAGATGCTGGAGAGCAGATGGAGCAGGCAGCCTCAGCTTCACGGTGCCCATCCTTGGCAAGCTTCCTGTGAGCCAAGCAAGGGTAACCACAAGCTAGCGCTGGGGAAAGTACCAGGCCATCTGAAGACCTGCCAAATTCTGGTCTGCCAACCTGCTAGGTGTCCTTGGGCAGGTCATTTCCTTTTATTGGGCCTGTTACTCCACATGCAAAGTGGAAAGAGTAGATTAGATTAGCCCTTGTCTTCCTTCATGGCACGATGTTCCACTGAGAGCCAAGGAACCCGAAGGTGCTCAGCCTTGGCTCCAGGTCTACAGTCCGAAGACCCCCATAGGGCAGTTGGGACGACCAAGTTGAGATAATGTGAGCCCTTGAGAAATGGTTTTGTATACATAAGACCCCTATATAAAGTGCTGCAAACAGGTAGTGAGTTCTATTGCTATTGGTTCTAAGGAAATGGGGGAGAAGAATGGGCTCAGTTAGCCACATGACAGAAAAGGGACCAAAACCATGCACACTGCATTCTGATGGGGGTTAGCCCATACATACATCAAGAGGGGTTTTGTGGGAAGTAATCATGGGCACACTGGTACAGCTCTCACAGCTGTCATTGTCAGTCTGTCAGGGGTGCTCACAGTCCCCTGCAGAGGGTGCAATTACTGAGCCAACTGAGGACTCTCTAAGTCACATCTAAGAAACACAGCTAGTAAGCAGGGAGAGGGGCTGAGTCCAGTTTTTCCAACTCATGAGAAACCTGACACTACCAATTACTGGTTGATCTTGGGCAACTTACCTAACCTTTCAGTGACTCAGTTTCTCCATTTGTGAAAGAGAAAGAATTAAACAGTCCTTATTTCACCAGGCTGCTGGGAAGGTTAAATGAGTTATTATCTAACTTATTTTTTGAAGAAGAGTAAAATATTCAAACATTGTTTTGTTTCCGATCCACGATCACATTTGTCCCTGGGGAGTTCTCTAGGACTCCACTCACTTTAGGCAGTTGAAGAAATAGGCACAGTAAGGGGTTGGGCTCACGGGAATTAAAGACCAGGGCCAGGACCAAAACCAAGCCTCCTAGTGTTAGGAGTCCAGGTCCCACAGAGATCTGAAAAGCCAGCAGGCGCCCCAGCTGAGGCCCTCCCTCCGCCCACAGCCGCCCTCATGATGGAGGAGCTGAATCCCTACACCAAGATCAGCCCAGCGCTGGGTGCAGAGCGGCACTCGGTGGGTGCTGTCACAGGCATTGTCCTCCTGTTGTTCCTCATTGTGATGCTGCTGGGCCTTTTTGCCTGGCGCCGACGCCGGCAGAAAGAGAAGGACCGCGACCTGGCTCCCCGCGTCTCCTACACACCTGCCATGAGGATGACCAGCACTGACTACTCCCTCTCAGGTAAGGGCTATGCCCCAGCATTCCCATCTCCCTCACACACACCACCCAGGAAGAGCCACAACATATCCTTGGGGGGCACCTGAGTTTACTGCTCAAGGTGGGCGGTCATGCCTGCAGGGTGGGTGGTGGGGGCTGGATGCTCAGACTCCCCTAGAGAGATGATGGGAGTGGAGAGCAGGAGCCTACTTGAGAAAGGTAGATGAGGTCCTGTGAAGTGTCATTTCCTGGGCCCCCAGCTCTGAGTGCCTGTGATTAGGAGCCTCCTTCCATTTCCCCAGACCTTCCCATCCTTCAGCCACAAGAGCACCCACCTAAATAGCAACTTTCCTAAACTCCCCAGGGGAACCTTTCCCCAGCCTGATGGCTCTGACAACTCAGGACCCTGTCCTAATTTTGCTCCTTTGGGTGAAGGTCTCAGAGTAAACCTCCCTTCCCAGTTCCCAGAGTCAGAGCCCCAAGGGGATTGTGCCTGACTTGGGGGAGATCTGAAAGTGTGGGCAACGTCCCTCTGGCCAGGCCCATTGGAACTCAGTCTGTCCATAAATGTGGTGGTAACTCTCAAACATCAGCCATGGGAGTCTGGGTTGGGGGGCGGAGGAACACACTATTGGGTCAGATCCTTCCTCTCCCCTCAACCCTGGACTGCTGCCTTAGAAATAAGGAAGGCTTTTTGCTTCATATTTAGTTAAAAAGAAGAGGTTGAAATGCTCTGAAATTGCCCTCAGCCCTGAGCACAAGGATGACAGCTCACTCCAGCTGGCCCCATTGCTCATGGCTGATCTGAATGAAGCCTCCTACACCTTGTATTTACAAAACCAACATCATGTCAGCCCTTTCCTGCTACATGTTGCCTACCGTGTGCCCAGCTCCATGCTAGGTGCTACAGGATAGAAGGAGGTGGCCCAGATACAGACCTTACCTTCAGAGTCCCTGGCCTGCAATCCCGCCACCTCCCAACTCCCACCCTGGGGTTTCAACCAAAGCAGGTATCCTCTGATGAAAGCCCAGAGATTTGGGGATTTTCTTCTATGACTGTAATAAGCAAGGTTGGCCAGGTTTTCCCCTGCCATTCCACTGGAATCCCCCAGCCCTATCAAGAGGTCCTGGAAACCACAGGGCAGGAGGGCAGGACTGGAGCCAAGGGGAGTAGGTTTCTCTTTATGGCCTCACTACTGGGATCTAACCTTGGGGGGAGGCAGGAGAGGATCAGCACAGCCCTAAGTACTGACTGCGGGACAAGCGAGGCTGTCAAAGCCAACATTTCCTCATCCATGCTCCTGGTGCCACCCTTCACACTGGCAACATTACCGTGCATCCTGCATGCTTCAGGGAAGGCCACCGCAAGGGAAGGGGAAATCAGGCTCCACAAATTTCAGTAGGGGTAGTGGATGCCAAAAGTTTGGGGGATGGAGGACTATCCCTTTGCAGAGCACCCTCAAGGCTGACCAGCCCAAGCATTAGTATTGGGGCATCTCATGCCAGGGGCAAGAGTATGATGGTATGTGGCAACTTGTTCTCTTCCCAGATTTGTCTCAAAGTAGCAGCCATGCCCAGTGCT